CCCTCGGACATTATTAACACTCCAATTTTCGGAGTGTTTAATATAAATTTTTCCATGCAATTTCTGGATATTCTATCTTAATTGATAATTAATATCTTAATAATTCTTCTGAAGGATTTATCTCTGGAATAAAAAATAATTGATCTAATTTTGTTTATTTATTTATGCATTGTGTTGTATGATCTACTGATAAAACAGATTTTTAATGCACACATATTCGTCGTGTTTAATATAAAATTTTCAAAGAAATTCCGGGATATTTAATTTGAATAGCGATAGAATTTTTCTAAAGGATTTTTCTCCGTGAAGAGAAATAACTGATTGTATTTTTCGACAGGCTATTGACTGATGAAATCAGTTCAAGTGAAATAAAATCTGTGGAGCTAGTTGCAACTGTTAAATCAGCGTTTGAGTGATTCAATTGAAAATAAAATTGTGAATGCTTTTTCAATGAGAGAGAGAGAGAGGTCGGAGGGAATTCTTCAGCATAATATCTGATATCTCGAAGGTAAAAATGCACTGGAAATGTTCCACGCTGTACAGAAGATGCAGAGTTGATCAATAATTCAACTGAATTAAATAGAAAATAAAGGCTGTGAATAACTGCTGGGAATTTTCCCATCGTCTCCCACAAATTTCACTCATTTCGTTTAAATACCAAGCTCCAAATCTCAACATATAAAATACTCCTAGAACCCCCATTTTCATCAATTTTTCCCAATGAAAATTAAAACCCTAGTAAAAAAATTGTCAATTTTTTTTTTCGATTACGCGATAGAGACGCGTCCCGTCCACTCCAATTTCCCATCCAATCAATTCTCCAACGAAATTTCATTGACACAGAGTAAGAACTTAGCATGGAAAAAATTATAAAAAAGTTATTTGACTTTTATTCCGAGAAAATGAGAGAGTAATTAAATGGCCTGATTAATTAGTTGGCTCGATGGCTCATTAAAAAATCGGAATTGGCCAAGTTTCAAGGGTGGATGACGTCCAATTAGAATTTCATCATCACCTTCAACTTACGAGAAGTTTTTTTTTCTCTCATCGGTTTCTCTCAACTCCAAGGGCTGAGTTGTGACGCAACAAGTGTTATATTATCCGCAACTCGTCATTCCCTTTGGACTAGACTCTCAGTAGAACCCTCGAGGGGCAATTTAACAAGATTATTAAATGAATATTAATGTTATAAATTGTTTAATATCAAACATCTCCCCATTTCCACAGAACTTGAAAAATCAATACTAGAGACTCTTCGATTCCAGCAATTCCCGGGAAACTCAACATTTTCCCTAAAATCATTCGTTATTGACATAAATTGGCCACTCACCGGTTAAATAAAATTTTCAATCATAATTTTCCAGTGAAAATTTATCGTTTGACGTGTAAAACGTTCAGCACGAGGTATAACATGCGTCCGAGCGGACAGATAAAAGCGATAGAAAGAAAAGAGCACGCGAGAAAAATGGGATAAACATCAAAAGATATGAGTCTAGAATTATTTTTAACGAGCCTTTGATCACCGGTGGAACAAATGCCTCATGATTTTCAAGAGATTATGGATAAGTACTGATGTTTCCACTCCCCCAGAGAGATAATTTCGCATGAATGGACAGCATTTTATACCGTAATATTTCTATTGATTATCGAGCAGTGGGATTGAAGGCATGTGAGGTGCTTTCGCATGAAATGACTCAGACTTTATGGAGATGGAGGATTCAAATGGTTGGGAGATGGTGTTTGCGAGATGAACGACAGGATTCTTCACTTGCTAGACATTCCTCTTTTGCTTTTCTCCCAGACATCTTCACTCCATCTAACCCCATAAAACCGTCTGACAGTGGCCTAGGGAAATTTATCGATTCAATGAGAGGAGATGAAAGAACTTTCCACCCTTGATGTGTAAATTTTATCTCAATGTATTTAGGATCTCATTTAGGTGTCAAGTACATCCCTTTCATTGCCGTTATGTCATTGCAGTATGATTAAAAAATTTTCCCCACTACTCTCAGACCTTTATAGAACAGTTTATCACAAAAGCTGTAATTCATCTGTTATGGGATTCACCGGCTAACTTTTCATTGGCGCAGAGAAAACTCACACAAAAACACCCCAAATCATGGAAGAGGATAAACACATTTTAGAGATTCCTTGTGTTTATATTTATCTTTTCACAGTGATAAATTGAATTATTTCTAGATCGATGTTTTCTCACATAATCTAATTTGTCTGAATTCTAGCAAGTGCTTGTCTTCGCTGGCTTTTCATTCATTCTCCCCTGCAACGGAAATCTAGTCCTGAATTTACTTGATATTTAAAAAAAAGGTAAATGTGAAAACGTGAGAATGGTTCGTACAAAATTGAGAACTGAAATTCAGTAAAAATAAAAGCGTTTCGTATCCATTCTAAAAACAATTCAAAATAACAATTAGATTTACGACTTGAGGATCAATGCAAGGGTAAATAAGTTCGAAATGTTATTTTATTCTACCTATTAGATTCTTTTTTCCCAGTGGAGTAGAAAATATTCTATAACTTATTCCCAAAATCCAAAATGAAATGTCGAAGTTGAAGCATACAAATATTTAATCTTGCCACTAATTTATAATGCGAAAGGATTGGAGTTGAATGTATGAGAAAGATTCTAAAAATAATGACTCCCCTCTAAAGAGGATTCACCGTAATCCCATCAGGAGCCATCAGACCAGAGTAAACCTTCATTTTCAATAGCTGCAATATATTTCACGAAAGCGAAAATTGAATGAAATTATTTCGCATCCCACGCGAAACTCTAGTTTCATTCTGCAGAATGATGAATACCATTATAGGATTAGTATGAGAACGTCTCATTAATATTTCATGCAATATTTATTCGGTCGGAAAAAAATTTCGCTGTTCCCAATACGCAGAAAATCTACGGTATTTCACATTAAACAATTATTAATCCAAATTGATTAATCGACTAATCACTCAACGGTACAGTCAGTTTGAATTGCATTGTATGGATTACCTCCAGTATTTTTCGGATAAAATGGAATCGAAATGACACATAAACCGAAAGATAGAAAATGTATGGATTTATCTTCCAACAGCTGGACTCGACGCGATGATCTCTTTCTACTACCGGAATATTCTCTACCGTTTTTCACATTCGCAGAAATATCCATGAAAAAGCCTTTAATATCCGCTTGACCTATGCGTCATTAAAAAT